AGAACTAGCAAATTGTTAGGGAACTCATGCAATTTGATGAACCCAACCCTGGGTGTGCTTGGCCACTCTGTCCCCCACCTACCCAAGGACCAACTTCTTTCATAGCTGCCCAAGTACTGGAACTTCATTGCCAGATGCACTGTGCGGTGAATCAGTGAGTAGGGGGCTTGACAGATGACAAAGTCGATGCTTCAGCTCTCACAGGGGTGGCCAGGTGTCTGTGCAGACATAATCCCCCGTCACCTCTGACTGCTTTAAGGAAGCAGAATCACAGGCCTATGATGCTTTAAGGAAGAGTAATTGGGGGTGGGGGTGGGGCTTAAACGGCAACACGAAATGGATAAAAGAATATACTGTGCCAACCACAGAGCCTGAATGAGGCACGAGAAAGGAAAAGGGAGCCATCCTGAGCACACGGCAACAGCCAGCACGTCAGCGAACAGCAGCAGCACGAGGCAGCAGCACGGGAGTTCGGTGTGTGGAAACGGGCGTGGCCAGTGTCGGGGAGCCTGGATGACACGGCTCTCTCTTCCGGTCACGGATGGCGTGAAGGACACTAAGGCATCTAAACTCACCGAGGTGGGTTTAAAAGTAAAATTGGCACCACAGACTCGGCGTAGTTGTGCTGACGAAGACCAAAATGGTAGCTTCTTAAAGAACTTTGCCAAGTGGAGGTTCCCCTCCCGCTGCCGTGCTGGAGAGGATGGTTTTACACGCTCAGAGCGGGACACACGCCATGGCTGCCCCCTCCCCCACCTGGCACCGCAGACTCCACCAGGCTCCAGGGGAATAACATACTATGTAATGTTAGCGTGGGCGCCCACGGAGAGAAGCAGGACCAGATGCACGCCTAATATCAGGAACTGGCAGACACCGGTTAGATGTAAGGCGAAGGCTAATTTTTAAATCACAAACAAAAAGAACAGCTTTTCCTACACAGAGTAACAACGTTACACTATACACATATCTCCAAGATAAAGTAGGATATTCTTGCAAACGTATCCAGTGACCTTATAAAGGCCGTGTGAGATTTTTAAAAAGGACTGAAATAGTAGAAATAAGACAAGGCTGCAGTGTGTGTTTGGAGTGGGGTTGGGGGGACCCGTTCTCACATCTGGCAAAGCATTATTTCAGCACATGGTTTTCTAAAGAAAGGAATCAAAGTTAATTGAGATCGATTTAGGAAAAAAAAAAAAAGATTACCAAAGCTGGAGAGAGAGGAGACACACATCTTTTCTTCGTATCTTAAAATTCTCCTCAAAGTTAATATTGCATCAAAATGAGAAAGGCGATATGATTCAGAATATCAACTTTTGTTCACTAGAGGAGAAATAGCCCGAAAATGAGGAAGCTTCAGGATAAACATTTCCAAAGGAGTGAAACACAGTCCACATCCTGGAAACGCAGAGCAAGTGAGAAGCTGGCCCTAAAATGGTTCTAACTAAACCAAGACTGCCAAACTCCGGGAGCGAAGTCCACGTCCGGGAAAGGAAACAAACACATCAACGCAGCCATTCACACGCACACGGCTAACGTGGCACGCGCCTTTTGACGACGGGCGAGTAAAAAGCCGCTGAAGGGTGGTGTCTGGAGACCTACTTCAGCAGGCCGATCACTCAACACGAACTGCTGCTCTGCGGAGGAAAACAGAAAGCACACTGCAGCCCGCGGCATCCCTCTGCTCGCCCGCCTGACCTCGCTACGCTAGACGCAGGTTTCATCATCTCTTTGGTTCAGCGTGGATGACAGAGGCTGATGCAGAGGCTCCTCCTGCCTGAGCCCTGGGACTTCAAAGCGGGGAGACCTCCTGGCCTTGGCTGACACTGACCCTGCCTCCCTGCCTGCCATGTGGCTCCCCTCCTCGGCCGAGGCCATCTCACCTACCTGCCTGCCTACCCGTCAAGGTGTCTGCCGAAGCCTTAGTTAACATGTATAGGACAGTCTCCCGGAAGCTTCGCCCAGCTGCAGGACTTGGGGACTGCTCTGGTAGCTTTGTAACGGAGAATCCAAAAGAGTCAAAACCTGGCAGAAATGTGGCATAATAATTTAATATGCCCGCCTCTATGTTACTATAAAAAGACCTGAACTTTACATTGGTGTGTGCTCGTGTGTGGGGCTCCAGGAGAGCTGGGATGTTCTGATGTGGCAAGTGGCAGACTCCCAATGCCATTTTTTATGAATTTATGAGAAACACATAAATTCTAAGCAAATTGCTCCAAAACAAAAGGGCCCGCTGTGTTCGTGTGCCGTGTTCACTATTTCGTGTGAGTACTGAACGTACCAGTAACATATGAGGACCATTCCTTCGGGTTTCGATCATGGGATAGCCGTTGACCGATAGTTCCAGAAAGTAGAGAGGACTCAACTACATTATATTTCATACGATAAGACTAAAATATGCTTCTATTTTTAAGTGACTAGATTTGGGTACAACAAAGGGTCCAAAGTGCTTAGACTCAAGACTGAAAAATGAAAAATAAAAAATGTCGCATGCAAACTGCCATTTTCAGCAAAGACCCGGATGCCTTTCAGTAACAGATGAATGTTTTGAGAGGCTCCTTTATTTCAAGTGAAAAAAATTAGAAAATAAGAGTCTGGGCTCAGAGTTGCTTCTAACGTGGGCCCGATGGTTCATAAAAATATTGTAACGCTGACACAGAGAATCCAACGTACTTAAATTTTCATGAAAATCCGGGTGTGATAGTGTTGAAACTGAGAACATCTTAAAGAATGATGCGCTCGCCTTCACAGCTGGAGCAAAGGAAGCACACAGAGGGAAGTATTGCTTAAATGGTTTTCAAAATTTCAGCAGACAGCCAGGGCTCGATGTCCAGAGCACTAGATTCTCAAATTGGTCTTCCGCTTCCTCAAGCCCATGTGCCTCGCATGGTCACGAAAAACAAATGGGAAAACTAAGCGGAACAAGCACGCTTAGATTATGGGCATGCTTCAGAAAAAAATGCTAATAGCAGCCTTTGCTGTGACAATACGGTGTCCACTTCAGAAAGCCAATGTCATCGTAAACCCAGAGCCTGCCCGTTCCTGTCGGAGTTCTCATCCACTCCAACCCGATGCAAAACTCTTCCTTAAACTTCTCTTGCACCTGGGCAAACAGAATTTGGTACATCATGTAGCTCCTTCCACTGCGAAGAATGAACCGTCTTTCAGCCGCTTTTCTCTCGACTCAAACAGATGATCCATCGTATAATATGCCAGATTACCTTGGCAAGTGCTTTGCATGCAGTATCTTTTTAAAGCCTATGTCACTGACTTTAAGACACCCCCATATTTCACATTTTGCCACCTCTGGAACCTGGGCGCATCTTACAATCAGTGACATGTCACATTTATTGGCAGCTCTTCATCCGCCTCGATGACAGATCGTTTTTCGTTTTATTAACAATGGCATCTGGAATTTTATGAACGATGGTCATTCAGTCCTGACAATAGCCCATAAGATCAGTTGTCACCCCTGCCCATGGGACAGAAAAAGAAAGGGAATGGCAGCAGCGAGCATGCCACAGAAGCAGGGCTCGTGTTTCTGAGAGGCGTCGCTCCCGGCGCCTGCACACTGACAGCATCTGCGTGTCATGAGGAGGAGGAAGAGGCTGGACTAATGCAGCACACA